CGCAATGGGTATTGGACCGTATTGATCCAGCCTCGCGCGAATGAATCACACACCGACTCCATCATTCGTCGGCGGCACGTTGTTTGTTACACCTATATTTTACCGACTGTTCGCGCATCAGAAGCTAAGAATATATGCGCATACGTTCACGTATTCCAAGTTTTTTGTTTGCATGAGCTGACAAAGAAGCGGAATAAGAAAGACAGAGATAAATTTATAGAACGAGAGGGGGGAAGGGAGTGGGAGCGAGTCGAGGAACTAGAAGAGAAGGGCGTGGCATATGTAACAGAAGGCGGGGCGAGCACTCTGTGGTTCTCGGCGCGCGAACAAGTTGCTTACGTAGTAAAGTACCTTCCTGAGAGCCTACCAAATAATCTACTACGTAATTCGCACGCTCTGACTTCCTTAGCACTTCTATTTCTTTCTCACATATTTTCAAACAATATTTTTCTCATTGTTAATATTATTTACTCTGTTTATTCCATAAGAGTTTGTAGACTCTAGAAAATTTATATTTTTAACAGAAGTCAAATTATGTACAAACTCGAATACATTTTGTACATGTAATTTTTGTATTGCTACTGACTTTTTATGATGGATGCGATGATATTAGTTTTCCATATTCTCTGAAACTGTTGTTTATTTTCTACATTCAAAAGGAAGAACATTTCGTTTTCTCGTATCACATATTCTGTAAAGTATTTTTTATCATTTCCGTTCAAATAATTTACTTTATTTAATTATGTCTTGAAAATTATATAGATAACGATAGATTACATTACAATGGTGAAGCTGCATACAATTTGTTAATTCTAATTAAGATTGTAATGATGTTAGTTCATATAATAAAACTATTATTATTAACTAATACATTAATTTTTTAATATATTTAAAATATGCTGTATATAATTATAGAGATTCTTTAATCTTTGTTTATAAATGTATTTTAATTTTCAAAATATGTGTTAATAATTATACGAATTAGGATTGTTTTATTAAACTAACTTTGAAAAAATAAATAATTACCAATTTGACAACATAAATTATAATTAGAATAAACAACAGGTTGACAAGTATAGATAAAATGTATTTAAATAAATAGAAGTAGAAAAGAAACTGATATATATTCTTTCTTTAATAAAGGAAATTGATTTTTTCAAAACATTAATTCATAAATATGATTATGAACATTAAGAAATATATCGAGCGTGTCGAAGTACATATGCTTACATATCTCACAAACTTATCAAGTTTCTGTACTTTTTCTCTTCGCTTTCCCCACCTCCTTACCATTGGGTCACAATATACATCCTACAGATAAGTTGTACCATTATGGTATCGTTACAACTGGCAACAGGAATGTTTCACAAATGCACACTTTTTTCAGCACCAAGAGGGTAAAATGCTCCCGGTACTAATAAACTGCATTCTTCTTCTTTTTCTTTTCTTGATACTTGCTCTCTCATTTTCATTTTATCATTTCTGTCTTATTCACATTTTATTTTATTTTGTTGGCGATCAAGAGAAGAGCTTCTGTCTCTTCAGAGCTGAATTTTTTTCTTAGTTTGATTCAAAGCCTTCGTGCTCCGGTTATTGCCATTTCGACTCTCTTTCTCTTCACCTGTGCATCTTTTCTTTCTCTCTTTTTCTTTCTTTCTGAGTCTGCCTTCATCTCTCGATAACACTTCAGAATCATTTATTTTTCTGAGCCAGTATAGCATTATGTTTTAAAAAGCTGCATTAAAAACATTCCATTTAAAAACATAAGTACAAATACATTTTTGCAAATAATATATTAAATATACGCACATTAAATATATATAAATAAATTATTATGACTAAAAAACATATAAGCAATAATTAAATGAAAATTTGTGTTTGAAAACATAGTAGTTCTAAATAAAATACATTTGAGTTACAATAAGAATATTATTAAATACGATTATTAAATATCATTTCTACGATAAGACAATTTAACTTACAAACTTTATACAATGTTTTACTGTTTACTGTTAAACTATTCTACTGTTTTTTAATGTATTATAAACATAACACTTATATAAATAATATGTGGTTTTAATCTAAATACTACTATTCATTATGTAAACTACATATATTTAATTTTACGTACTCATACAAAAAATATATTTATTTCATTAAATTAAAAATGTTTTATTTTTTTTTATATAGAATAATAATTTGAGACTAAATATTGAACTATTACAAGAATTACATATATTATAAAAAAATTGAAATTCTAGACAACATCTATGAGAAATAAAACAATGACTATTTTGCGATTGCTAAAACAATACAGTACGAGAGTGTTGCTCGTTGTTATCGCTTACGATTACAAGAAAATGCGTAATAATTATGACAGACAGCATCTCAAAATAATAAATATCAATCGAAAGCTTTGTGTACATGGAATCTTAATCGGGAAGACGTAAGCATCATGGCCGTTTGTCTACACTTAGTTTATAAGAAAAATTTATAATTTATCTAAATTCCGTATGAAGCTCTGTATATTTACGCCTTGGACATTATGAAAAATTAGTTTTTCCATTTGAATCTTATTATTTCAATCTATTTGCATTTAGTTTAAAATAAGCATAATGTATAAACTTGTATTTACCGCATTATTTAAAAGCAATAATTTGAAAGTAATTTATATGTTTGAATAATTAAAACAAAATTTCTGTATAAATTTTGCAATAATATCGAGAAATTGTTATCTTTACTTTATTTTATAAATATAGATATTGCAATGACATGCTTTCAAATATATTTTAAAATACAATTTTTTAAAGGTAGATTATTCCTTATGAAGTCTGAATCTATTAATTGAAACTTAATATATATTAATAACATAATTATTAATTAGTACTTTATTTATAAAAAGAAAGAAAATAAATTTATTTTTAGTGTATCGTTTTAAAATCGTTTTTAGAAATTATAACATAAAATTCAAAATATATTCTACTTACTGTTAATTTAATATCTATTAAAAAAGTATTTACCATTTAAAAAGTGTACACTTTTTCAAATACAAAAATAATTGTCAGATTTATAATCGAAAATATAAATTTCGAGCCTTATCATAATAAAGTTAAATCAACATTACAAAATTTATATTTAAACTTAAAAGTATATCCAATCAGTATATCATTGAAAGAATCATACTCATACTTCTTAATAGCCCTGCAATTTTTTTCGTATATATTAATGTTTATTAAATAAAGATACAGTGGTTTATAAATACGTTATACTCATTTGGAAATGTAATTTATCTCATATATATAATATAAAAAAATTCATTTATGTACTTTCATACTGACAGCATTTGAAATACAAACAATAAAAGTACATTAAACTCAAATACATAATTTATAATGTAAAATATTACGTGCACTTATTCAATAATCTGAACTACTTTCTTTAAGGATTACCACGTGAAATAAAAAGAATGAAAAGCAGAGTCTTATCTAAATGCATGTGTCACAAATTGCAGTGAAGAAGCTCGAAATATGCCTGGCTCGTGAAGGCTATGAAGGGAGGTGTCACAGTGGGATATTTCGCATCCCTTGTCGCGAGCGTCTTAAGTAAATCGTAATAGGACGCATGCCATGCTCATGGCTTTTGCTATATGTCTATATCATTCTGTGTGGAATTCCAAGCACTCTTGTGTGAAATGACAGAAACAATTAGTTGACGTCCCAAAGTCCTTAAATATTATGTACAATTGGTTATAGAAAACCATTGTTGATCATTACTTTTTTTCTTTTAACTTTTCAACGTCGAAGCTATATCATTCAATTGATGCAAATTGTAGTAATGATAATTAATTTGGAGCAGTTATAACAATATTTTTATTATAATAGCAAATACACTGCAATAATTAATATTGTTTGTATTTGTAAAGTATCTGTAAAATAGAAACTTTATAGATGAATTTTCATGTTTAAGTAATTCCAATGCTTGGACACTCTGGTACACTTTTAAAATAATAAAATAATATCAAATTAAAAGTAAATTTTCAATTTACATTCCATTTACTATAATTTTTTTAATCTTCCGGTATTTCGTAAAAAGGAACCCAACGAGTATTAAAAATAGTTCAATCAATGTCTACAAAGTGTAAAGTGATAAAATCTATTAAAATTAAACCGCGAACAATTATAAATCACTTGAAACGACGCTACAAACGCAATAGCTTAAATAGTCTTGGATTTAAGAAAAAATTCGAGATATGTGAGAGGTGCGTGAGTGCGTATGTGCACGTCCTTGTACACGGAAATTTTGTAAAAATACAGTGCTACGGAAGCAGAAGAATACCGGAGAATGTGACAGAGAAGCAAAGGGAAAGATCACATAAAAAAGTAAGCAAGGCAGATAGTTTCGCAAATCGGAGGCTGCAAGAGAACGCCACGAGTGACTCGGGTCGCTTTGAATTCAGGTTGCACCGCACTCGATTGTTTTTCCTGCGTGACTCCAATTTATGCGATCGTTCCCGCGTAGCTGTCCACGTATTTATATGTATGGTCTCCTTTGTGTGTTAATTTGTATATGCGTAAGTGCAGGCTATGGAGCAATAGAGGAAATTCAGAAGTAGACTTTTGTCGACTTTTGATTATAGTTGCCTCCTGTTGATTCCTCATTTCTTTCCTTATTAATTTTTCTTCCCTCAACCAAAACCGAATCAAAGCTGGTTTCTTTGAATCTGGAAAATGTAAAAAATGAATTATATGGTAACGAACTTTCATCTTTTAAATTTTCAATGTATAGTAAATTGTCATTTTGCATAAAATTGTTTTCTTATTAAAACTATGTAAAGTAAACATACTTTTTCTAAATTTATGAAATTTTTTATATATAATATGAATTTCATTTATTTCATAATGCATTTTTAGTAAACATATTTTTTAATAGAACAAAAAATGTAAATATACTTGTTAACAATTTTGTCTATCAATCAGTATTATTGTTGTTTTTTGTTCTAGCACTGAAGGTGAAGCTAATGCTTAGGCGACCGTACAATCAACTCGTCGCCCAAGGAATCATGCCTCGTAAGTTTTTGTTCATCTTTTTATTAATACTCCTTGCTTTATACGCATGTTATAAAGTGAAGACAATACTGCTAATCAATTAACATACGATATATCAATTCTTGATAAAAACATATTCATTACTTTTCTGCTTTTATTTGTAATAAACGATAGTGAATGTATAATTGTACAAAGTAATAAAATATAAAAACAAATAACTTTCATATAATAACATAAATTATTTATAAATGATAATGTATAACTGCTTAAAAGAAATTCAACTTAATAAAAGTAATAATAATTTGTTTTATTAGACTAATTTATATCATTTTCAAATATTTATACATAGGTAATAAATTGTATTAATTTATATCATTTGAGTAAAAATTAATCTTATTATTTTAAAGAAATTTCTGTCAATGACAAGCGTGAACAAGAATTAGATATTATAATAAAAATAATGAAAAATGGAAACAAGTTATTGTACGTAAACATGTGTATAATATAAAATATAATAATTTATTATTCAGCCACTCAATTCGATTGACGAACGATTAATAGCGATATAACACGTATACTTAATTCTTATAATGAAATGTATTATTTTTATACACATATTTATATACGTATGTGGTACGTATATATTTCTACACATATGATTATCTAGTCATTACTATTTATCCTAACTTTTCCCTTCATATTATTAATATTTCACGCTACTTTTTTTTCTTCTGTCATCGTGTAATAAATAAAGCAAATTACAGTAACCATAGTTAATTAGAGTAAGTAGATTAATAAAAAGGAACCATACAATAATAAAAAAGCTACAATTTTACAATAATTATCCATCTGTATGTTTTTTGTTTATTTTTTATCTGTCTTTAAACTAATTGTTTTATGTACTCGCTTTAAATAAAAATTTTGTTATTATACAAAACTTTTGTAAATAATAAGAAAAAAATAACATAATAAATACTTGACTATTGAAAAATAATCATTTTTTTCAATACTTTTTTATATTTTTTTTATTTTGATAATATAAAACTGTGATTTTAAAGTCTTTTAATGGAAACTGAAATGCATTTTAAAAATTGTATGATTCTATATACTTTTTAAATAACCTAATATATAAACATTAATAGAATTGCAACAAAACTATTTCATTCTTTATATATTTCATTTGAAAAATAGGTTAAAATACTTATATACTATTGATTACAATAGTTATTTTTATAATATTATCTACTTGAAAGATTATACAACTATAGCATGTTAAATAATATATTGATGCATTTAAATTTATGTATTAATCTCGAATAGATATTATAATTAATTGTATATTATGTTTTATTGTTTATATTATATTATATAATATATAATTCTATATTCTATATCATAATATAATTATAATAATATCATTAATTATAATTAACTATTAATTCAAATATAATTATGTCTATTAATGAAGCCTATATAAATATATGTAGCATGAAATAAAATATTTGAACTTTGTCATAAAAAGCTGAAAAAAAAATCTTTCGTAACACATAGCGCTGAAGACGCCTCCTGCATTCCATGAGCAGGCAAAACAATTGGAACGTCGCAAAACCGGTGATCTGCTGAAGGCGAAGATTCAGCAACGGCCCGGTAGAGACGAGCTTGTGCGACAACACATACTTGAAGATGTTGGCCATGTTGACCCAAGTCTTGCCAATCGGCAACGGATGCTTAAAAAAGCAAGACTTGCAGATCAGTTGAATGATCAGCTTAGTCACAGGCCAGGACCTCTTGAACTTATACAAAAAAATATTCTGCATACAGAAGAACCTATTGAAAGAGCTGTTAAAGGTTAGTTAAAAGCTTATTTATTTAAAACTATTATAATTTAAAATTAAAAAAGTTTAGACTACTACTACAACCTTTTATGAATTAAAAAATACTAAATTATGAATGAATAAATTATAATTTACTTTTAGATAAAATATTAATTAATGATTCATAAAAACTAAAATAAACTTTACGAAGATGCCAATTATAAATGAATTTTGCAGAGGGTCATATTTCCTTCAAGGCAACATGCGAAGGTCAACTGAGAAAACCTCAGCATCCAGACCATTATATAACCTTCGAAGACGACTCGCAGAGTTCCGAGGGAGGAGCACCCTCTCCACCTTTAGAGGGTTTAAGGCCCTCGTTAAATTTATCAACTTCGGCTACAACATCAGTAGTACCGTCGGCAGCAATAACGTCAGCTTCTGCAACAGCGACGACCGATGTGTTAGAAACCGCCACGGCTTCGGCAGGCATCGTTACTCTCTCCCTCAGCATACCAACTAACGACGGTGCCGTTGTTGTTACTTCGACTTCGCCTGTTTTTCAGAATTCTAACATTGTTCAGCAGCAACCGGCAATCGTATCGAAGACTCAGCCAATAGCTGAAACAACGACTATTCAGACTTTTGCGGAGCTCTGTAACTCCGTTGTAGGCAATCAACAGCAGCATCAAAAGCAGCAGCAACAGCAACAACAGAAACAACACATTCCGGCACAAGTAGCCGATAGTCCACTGCTTATCTCGATTGTATGCAATTTTTGCTTTGTCTTCTAGATTATTCACTATTTAGATTTACGAATCAAAAGAGGCTGTTGCTCTAGCCAAAAACGGATTCTAAAATATTAATAGTCTACAGGTGGTTTATTAAAAAATTCTTGTGTGTGTAAATATAAACATAATATAGCAATTTCATTTACTATAAATAATTATTTTGAAGGTTTATATTTAAAACCTTTAAATAGTTAATAAAATTATATCAAGGTATTCTTGTATTGATCATTGAAAATAATTTGTTCATATTGTCTATCTAATAATATTAAAATATTTTTTATTTAGTACGTATTATAAATGAAAAATTCTATTTGTTAAATTTTTTAATTAAACATTTGATAATTTTAAATATTTATAATCTTATTTAGATTCATTTTTCATGTTAGTATAATAGATAAACAATGTAAAATGCATATACATACTTGAAATTTTTATAAGTTATAATGTTAAAATATAGGCAATAACTATGTTTATGACTAAAAATGAAATATCTATGTAGGCAAGCCCAGGTAGTACGACGACACTAATGCCTTTGGCGCCTGCACCTAGTCCTATGTCTTTGGGCTCAACGACTTCCAGTCTCAGTCCACTTTCAAATATCTCGATAGCGTCACCCCCCGCGTCCGCTGCAACTATTACTCCGAGACCTCAGTCAAGTCCTATCACGGCAGCAACGGCTAATCAGCAAAAGAGCGACGCACCGGGAAAGGATAAAAACCGCAAGAAGTCCAAAACCAAGAGCCAACCAAAAACGAGAACCATAAAGTTTCACGAGTACAAAGTCAGTTTTCACTTCTTATTGTTTGCATATATTTCGAGTTTTCTTTGTGTTTCCCTATATATTCAAAGTTTAAAATGCCAATTGTATGAAGGAATTTTTGTTCTTCGGCATTTAAGTAACCTCATATTTCTTTCAATAATAATACTTAGTTATATCAGTTAGTCAAAATATTGAATATGAAATAATTCAAAAATAATTTCAGAAAAAATTAAATGTGTAATAATAATGTAAAATTACCCTACTTATATTTAAAGCTTTGGAAAGAAGTTCGATAAATGAAATAATTCATATTAATATACTAATTTAGAAACTAATTTTACTGGTTATTTCAAACATATTACTTGTGAAATGATGACTGACTAATAAAAATTTTAAGAATAATCGTGTATTTTAGAATACGAATCCCTATCAAATTTAATACTATTTGTATACATATACGGAACTTTATATTTATAACATTTTTAGATTTAGCTATCACACAATTGTTATAAATTTTCTTTATGGTTTTTTGTACAATACTTCTCGATTATATTTTTTTTCTTCTATGTTACAACATTCTTTTAGTACTCCAAAGATTTAACTAAGCTCCTACATTTCCTTTTTGTTTTTTTTTTGTATGCTATTTATGAAAGTATCATTTATCACATAAAAAATTTAATGTTAAATTGATATACAGTCGACATGATGTCTTAGTAATTTCTTATATTCCATCATTTTCCAAAAATAAAATAAATAGTATTGATACGATTTACAAACTCTTTAAGCACTACAAGAATATTTTATTCCTGTTTTTCTATCTTCTTAATTTTTATTTAAAGTTTTTATAAATATTTTAAGACTTAGAAATTTTGGTTGTTTAAATATGTTCGATTCTATTTATTTACATCATTTTATAGTGTATTAAAGCAGGAAACTTGCAAGGACGTATTGGGTAAATGCATATTGAACCGAAAAGTTCGTAAATTGTTTACAAAATCTTTTATTTTTTAGACTAGTTATTGTATCATCGTTGAACTGCAGAAAACTTAAGAAATGTGATGTCTATTGAAATAGAAAGATAAATCACTAATTTGCATGACATGATGGAACATTGAATAATGCAATACCATAGACAATTTAACATAGATGCATTTCAGATTTCACAGAATTTCATAACCTTTAATAACATCTATCTGTTCGTTTTCACTTTGTATGAGGCACATTTCAATTCTTCTTATAATAGCTTTAAGATTTATATTTTATTATAAGTAATGATGTTATATTTTTTTAGTTTACTTATTAAACCTATTTAGTTATTAAGTAATTGAAGATGAAATAATAGTGACACTAGTCATTATAATGAAAATATACTATTTATCAAATAATTCGAAATACATATATACTGTCATTTCACTCTATTTAGTAAATGTTATTCTGTATTATCGAATATATTTTGAAATATTGACAATAGCTTCATAATCGAATTAATAGCATATTCTAGTATATCAAAATATAAATTAATATAATTGTTATTGTATTGATATTTTTATTACATATTTATATCAACATGTTCAAATCTAGTACAATATATTAATCATCATCATTATGATTATATAATTAACGTTATATTTCATTTTTCACTTTCAAAATTACAAAACTATAATTTTCATGTTGAATGTTTCACAGGGACCACCAAACGCTCAAAAAACATGTGCTTCTTCCTCGGCTTCCAGCTTAACTGCGACGCAACAAAATGAAACGAGCTATGAACTTTTGCTGCAACAACAACAGCTTTTCCTTCAATGGCAGGTGGAGTTTAAAAATAAGGTAAGGAACATAAATATTCGTAAATATTTACATTGTAAATGACCAAAATAGATTAAAAAAACGACCTCAAAATCCACTTATCATGTCTCTTTATTATGCTTCTTAAAGAGCTTATTAAACCTTATTTTAAGATATACGAAAATTTATTAGTTTTTGTGTATACTAATTATTTAAAGAAATATTTATATTGTATAAATATTAATTATAATTACCAATATTTTTACAACAATTCATTAATAAATCAGTAATATTATACAATGAATCGAAAGTAAGACCTTTTATTTTTTATGCATACATATATTTCATTGAATAAATTATGCTTTAAACATTTTCGTTAAATGGAAATGACTGATATTACCAATTAATGTTTATTTATAAACTTATGATATATATATTTTTAAATTTAAATATATATATACATGAGTTGATGATTATTGTACAATATTTTAGAAATATTTAGATATTAAATATCAACATGTAATATGTTAATAAATACAATATTATTAATTCGTTATGTTAAATATATAATTTTTATCTACTCGTTAACAGGGAAACGGACCGATTCATCAACAGAGAATGGTTAGTTATATTTTTATATCACTTCCACTTGAATTTATGCTCTGAAAAATTGAAATGCAAGTAATCAAGCTTTCATACACAGCTAAACGGAAATTGAGGTTTTCTTATCCAAACTACGTATATTAAAAATTAATCTTTTAATATTTATATACTAATACCAATAAATAAATTCTTATGCGTATTCTAAATTTACTATTTGAGAGAAATTTAAACAACATAATTGCATATTAAAATTGTAAAAAATTATTGAATATCAGTTTCTTTTATCTTTATTTAATATTTAATATTTTTAAATATCAAAAATATATAGTAAATTTAAAAATAATAATAATACTAATATTTGATTTCATCTACTGATTTTTAAAGAATATATAAATTAAATAAAGTATGTCCATCTATTTCTGATCCAAAAGGAAAAAAAATTTGTTGCCTCCTATATTCATTTTTAAATAATGTGGTAAATTTTTGTTATAATTCTTTATATAATTAAAAAAAATTAGGTATTAGATATTTAAGATTTAATTATTTTTATTATTTATTTACTTAAATTACATTATATGTATAAATATATTTATAATTATGAGATTGAAATTGAAAGTATGCAGTTTATTCAATATTAATACTTGAATAATATATATTTAGAGAAAATTTAAAAATTTCATAATTATTTTATTTGAATTCATAACAAATTGAAACCAACATAAAATAAATAAAAGAAAACCGAATATTCGCATAAATCGACAACTTTATCAATATTTCAAAATCTGTACTAATGATTTCGAATAATTTTATGAAGAAATTAATACTATTTAATGAAAAAAGTATTAGCATTCTTAATGTTGAACTGGTTCGTATTTCCTTTAATATGTAGGTCTTCTTGAATTGCAAAATAGCAATTGCTTCATTTCATAAATTTACAGCAATTAAAATAGTGTGAAAAGGAAGTTTTGATAGCATAAATAAGAAAACGATCACAATTATCCACATTTTTATACAATAGCGCTTGATCTGATCAGTTAATTATCTTTCTATTACTCACTCTATCTGCCTTTTTTCTTACACTACACGGGGGGAATGTTGATTAAATGGAGAACGCGGTAACATGTCTGCGGGTTCTTGTGCTCAACAGTACCCACAACTGATCCTACCGGCGGCTCAAAAGCCCATTGCACTGACGAGCAACAATGTAGTGAACGACAGTGGCAATATTACCAACATTAACATCAACGTTCCAAGTCCTACATCCTCCAATATCTCGAATAACTCGTCCGAACAGCCACCCTTAAGGCCACTCGGTAAATTGGAGGACATGAAAGGTGAGCTGTCCATACCATTGGCACTTGCTTATATATATTATCTAAACCCATTATTCTTTTCATCATAATAAAAATTGAATTTCTTAAACTCAAGATGTATTTTAGACTCGTGTGTAAAATCGATCATGTTTAATAAGTGAGAATTATAAAAATAGATTTGTTTTTAGATTATTCTTTATAAACTAGAAAATTTATTATGTGTTAAAAAAAAGATTAAACAATTATATATAAGGTAAAATGTGCAGTATTAAATAATATTATAAAATAGTTAGAAAAAATTTTCTATTAAATTTACTTTAATTTTTATATAGTTTATTTTGAATATATTTAAAAAAATAAATTCCTAATATTAAAAAATTACTGTAATTGCTAAAAAACATTTATTTTTGATATTTAATTGTTATTTAAGCAATATTTTAAAATTTATTTATAAAAGCTAACTTGTTCATAATAAAACAAATAAACTCTAATTCATAAACTCATTTTACTGATAATATATTTATATATATATATATATATATATGTATTTATTTATTTATTTATTATATTACAATAAATTCAAACGAAAATATGAATTATAGTTAGTGATTTGAAAGTGGAATTGAAACGACGTAATCTACCAGTTTCGGGCTCAAAGCCTCAACTGATTGAACGGTTGAAACCTTTCACGGAATCATCAAGCTGCAACGTGACGTCGAGTTCGAACGGTCAACACGTTACACAAATGGGACATATACTCATGGATACGCCAGTTCCAATGTCAGCTGATGACACAAACTCTCGTAAGAGTCCAAATTCACCTAAAGATGATTCTATTACTAGTCCAAGAATTGATTCACCTCGTGGAACTGATCAAGATGATTCTGTAAGCCCAACAGGTAAAATAAATTTATTTTTATGAACAATTTACAAATAATAAATTTATTTACTATATTCACTTATTAAAATGAGATATTATTTTCGTTAAATAAAATCTAAAGTATGATTTAAAAAAAAATTTATTTAAAATCAATCTTAGTATATACTATTTGTTAGCATATATAAATATAATTTTATCGAAGATTCCTTAAAATAATATTCAAATTATTTTTGGAGCAAAATATGTAATTGATAGAAAGAAATTAAGTAATGATTCTTAGATTTTTAGATTTTTACGAAAAAAATTATATTATTATTTGTGTTAAATTTGAGGTAAAATTAAAAAGAATCATTTTTTCTTAGTAATGAATATTACTATAAAAATTTTGCCTAGAATTAATATTTGTTATACAATTATATAAAAAATAATAATAAAACTTCTGTATTCAAAGCAAAAAATGCGTTAACGAATACATTATTCAATTTTTATAAATATTAAAAATGTTCATATAGCTGTTTGTTCTATACTGAAATCCTAAAGAAAAAAAATATAATAAAACTTTTACTTTTATAAAATTATTTTCGTTTTCTATATCATAGTTAATTTTATTATTATTGTTTATAATTAATTGCATTAATTAAAATATTTTTTAAGAAATGTATTTAAATTCTAAATAGTTATTAATTTAATTTAATTTATTATAAATGATAATACTAAGAAAATTATCTGCAATTAATCACATACTATTGATTTAATGTTAAAAAAGGATTTTCAATCAATATTAATTTATTATCTAGGTGATACTACATTGAAAGAGCAATATCGTAAAAAAATTGAGGAGCTCGAGCGTGAAATTTTCAATATGCGATCTCAGCAACAAATGCAACAGTTTCATAATCAACCTGTGCGTGCGGAAAAACTCGTTTTACAACAACATTTGCAAAATAAGATTCAACAGCAACAGTTAATGCGCCATTTGCAGCAATTGCAACAGCTACAGCAACAGCAACAACAAGAAAATCAACAGCATGTTCAACGGCAAACTCAACATCTTGCATTTCAACAGTTGAATGCAAAAGCTAGTCTTGCTGCTTTTCTACAGGCTCAGCCAAATAACTCAGCAATTCTCGATTCGGCTACTCTGACGGCTATCAATAATAAAAAAAACCAGAATAAAAATAATGGTACAACAACTGTACAAATGCCAACTGCAATTGTTTTGAATTTAGCTAAGCCATCGAAATTCAACGGTTCAATATTGGGTGCATTGGTTGCTCAAGCCCAAAATCAACAACTTGTTACAGGTACCGAAGACGGTAAACCACCTCCACCACAATACGACGAAGCTGCTAAATTATTAAAGGTATTTTTTTGTTTAGTACTATTCCATGTTACTTTCTTTATAAAAACAAGTATCAAATTATTAATTTTTAATAGAAAAAATGTCATAAGATTGAGTTAATTATGAAATAGATTGAACAATATAATTTTATTTTGGTAAATAAATATTGGTTCGTTGTTTTAATTTAAATAAAAATTCATGCATTAATTAATGTTTTCTGTTATTTACATTTATAATTTATTTCATTTAAATCAGTTTAATTTATTAAATTATTTTTTCTTTAAAATTTAAGAATTTTATAGAGAAACAACCAATAATTTTATTTATATGCTTGAGATTATGCACGGAAAATATTAATAAATTGTAGATATTGAAAAGAAAAACAGTAATTTTATTAATGGAATATTAGTTTAAATATTTAAAAAAAACGTTACAGGTAAAAATTGAACCACTGCAGAAAAGTCCTGTGAAGAGCCAAATGGTTGATGATGTTTTGGAAATCTTAATAAATAGCGGTGAGTTGCCTCCAAGCGCCGCACAGGATCCTTTGACTCCAATGACTTCTAATCGTCAAATTCCGCAAAATTTGATACTAAGTGCAACAGCCGATAGTCCGAACCAGTCACTCGTTTTTACTACAGCGGAAAGTCCCATGGAGATTACACAAAATGAAAGTGACAGTCCAGCACCTCAGACTCAACCGCCTCCACCACCTCCTTTACCTTTGACCACGTTTAGTGTCCAGTTACCGAGATCACTGCAGCAACAGCAACAGGATAAGATAACTTTTACTACCCAACTTCTTACTTCAGAAGCAGAACTAGAGGCCGCGATGTTACTTAGTCCACAGTCAGTGCAACAAGATTCACCAGATCCACAACCACCACAAGAGGTCACATCCTCAAACAACAGTAATTTGGATCTTAAGGTAAAACATCAACAAATCAACGTAGGTGCTCTGATTAAATACAACTTCATACTTTAATGATTAAAATCATAAAATCATAAAATATTATTTCTAATTCTAGTAATTTCAAAATAATTTACATTTAACTAGATTCTAATTTATTCAATTAATTTAATTTTATACGTAAATAAAATTGAACTAATATTTTGCAATGCACAGTATTATTTTCATATCTAAATAACAAGCTTTTTTAGGAGCTGGGTTTAGATCTAGATACAATGGATTTTGGTCAACTGGATTGTGATTTCGGTGTAAAAATGGAAACACCACAGGAATTCATGGATATAGGTGACATGCCTATGGACATGGATGAACCCGACTGGCTTGAATCCCTTATGCCTCAGTCTCCGCCTTCTTCAGTTACTACAACTACTTGTACAAGCACACCTACTCTCAATCAACATTCAACTTCTACATCCTCGCATGTAAACAATGACCTCTATGATCCATTACTCGGCAACAGCCAAGATCCTTTCGATCTTTTCAATATTGAGGATCCCGATTTCAAAATGTCGTCTGATCTACCATTGACGTGGGACAATGGTCAGGTTGACTTTGCCACTTAGCTAGAACCGATGAAGTACTCCATATATTGGAGATCTACCTTGTGTACTTAAATTATCGACCACTATTTATACATATTTAGAAGATATATGTATATAAATAATGTATACAGTTATAAACACACGTACGCACGCGGGCGCACATACGATTCTTCCCTCCACACCTTTATTGTATATTTTAAAATATTGAATAATGACTTTTTTACATAACACGTATTGTATAATTGAAGAACTCAACTATACACAAATGCTATATGAGCTTTTTGTGAGTATCACAATTCCTGTTATATATGTCTTTATATCTAATGAAATAACAAGTATATGGATTTAATTAGTGCATCGATTGCAGTTTATCCATTGACTACTTTGTAAAGTTTGAGTGTACTATTACTTTTTTCTTTGCTTACTATTATACTTTTCATATTAAATATTAAAAGTTATAGAGCGTTTAAACTCGAACTTGAAGTATAAATATGTCAATTTTTAAAATACATAATATTGGAAATAAGAAAGTTTATAATCGTAGTTTAAAACATATCTTGAATGAATAATAGAAATCTATAATTGAGCCAGTTAAGAAAATCAATAAAAATATTATCTCCAAAGAAATCTCAACTAATTATAGACAAAAAATATGTTTAGTTTTATCTTCTAAAGTCTGATGTGTGCTACATAAATTTTAATATAACATATATAACCCTAGAAAAAATTAAAAATATAATATAGTGTATAAATTAAAAAATATTGGAGCTATCCAAATTAGCCCACAGGAACACAACCATAAATAGATAAACATAAAAAACATGTAATACTAAGAATTTACCATAATGTAAATTTTTTATAATATATCTGTATAAATACTTCTTCCAATAATTATAAATTTGTCAAAAAACTGTGAACAGAAAACAAAAATGTGGCATACACCAGCAAGTTACTGTCATAAATACTTTTCTTTTCTTTCTTATATTATTTCATTATTAAATATATTATGCTTCTTTTATTATGCCCATTCATTTGTTTTCTGCTTTTGTTCCCAACGTAGAATCACTATCATTTGATCTTGTGACATTCCAATATTTTGTTCTCTTTTCTGGCACTAAAATTTTTTTTTAAACGAATTATATATCAATAACAATGGAATTTAGAAATGTAGATTCTTGTTAGAATAAAAAATTAAGTAATGAAATTAAGAGGAGCAAAGGCTTTTTCTTCAATGATCGCGGCGTCCGTAACTAATGTTCTAATTCAGCTTGTTATAAATTAAACGTTGGGATAAAGAATAATTTATCATTGTCATACATAATAATTTATTCTCGTGTATACGAATATCTATGAGAATCAATATTAAAAATCATTTACTCTTGCAGTAAACGAAAATTAATAATTTGTTTCATTCATGGACATATTTTATTTATTACTAATTTAACCACAAATATGTGTATACATATATACAAAGTTCGTATCGTCATTAGATTTAAAGAATTCGATTTTTTTTACGAATTGCAAATAATGATTGCAAATATTGATACAGATCTGCATCATTTTAGAGTATATAATTCATATATTATTAATTTTGAGGTCCGTTCTTCTACTGCTCAATGTTCTCTTCTATTGCATTATAATTTTTATTGAAACGAAATCAAAATGAAAATATATCAGGTATTAACAAAAGATAGCATTCCAGAAGATCAACGGACAATTATTAATGAACCATTATCCATACACTATATGGGCTGTTTTTATTATCAATTTCTCGGTAGTTTTTCTTCTTACTTTTTATTGGCAGAGTTTTTAAATTTATTTTCAATGCATTTAGATGGCTTGAATATTAAAATATTAACAAATAATATAATACAATCCTTGTGCATAAATTAACTTATTGTCTAAGATAAGGTTCAGGTTTCCTATCATTCTTTGCATTTATTTATTTTTCTTCATTTTATTGCGAAAATAAACGAAATCAGTGATCTATAAAATAGTAATTATCAATGAAAATTTATTAACTGTGCGCAAATCATTCTCTATTCAAATTGTTTGTTATACATAATTTTCGATTGAGAAATAAAAATTTTAATAATCGAATGATAGGATAACCGATGTCTTACTTCACTACATTTTTCTGTCAAGACAATAAACATTTATTGTTCTTTGTATAATATTGTAATATAATTCTGAATCATACATTCGATTGTTAATGCGAAATGTGCTTAGCTTAAAAAACTCGAGATTGCATGAAATATTTGGTGCATGAATGCTCATCAATAGAAGAATGCTATATTTTAGGGGCGCTGTTTTAATGACCTGCAAAAGCTACTACTATTACCGATCTATTACTACACTGCCCTTATTATTGATACCGCTACTGCTATTGTTACTCTTACTACTACCATTATCAATATTATAATTAATACTACTACTACAACTGTCACTACCTTACTTTTAATATTACCATTACATTACTACTACCGTTAATATTACTATTACTGCTACTGTTACTGCTACTACTATTAATATTATTATTATATTGTTTTTATCATCAGCATTATCATAATTATTGGTAATATTATATTAAAATTATTATTTTTATTACTATGAATGTAAAAAATGCTATTCATAAAAATGTAAATCGTATGAATCATCGAGTTTATCATATGTTTTAAATTCGAGAATGATTGATTGATTCGACAGACTGTGTGAATCTGGTAGTCTGCCATTACAGTTAGTTCTAAATTTCCTTTTTTGCACGTGACCTCATTAATTCTTGAAATTAATTTTCTTAGAACATGGAGTATTGCATCGAACTAAAAAATTTTAAAATATCTTTGAAAGATTTGAATCGAGTTATAAGCGTGCAAAATTGGAATTTTGATAAACAAAAACAAAACAATATGCAGTGAAGACAAATGTTGAAAATAAATGTATTTTTATTATTGATGAGTAAAGAGTGCGTTTTTGTTAAACATTATTAAATTCCTTATTAATTAGTAATGGTCGAGTAATTATTATTATTATATTATTAGAGAGAGTGTTATTTATTTTTATTTGTTGCGAATTGATCGATTGCCTTCCATATAAGTACATAAATAAATAAACACATAAATAAAGATAAAATGTTATATTTTACAGCATTTTCTTATTTAAGAACCTAATAGCATCTAAATACATGAAAATTATTAAAGCATAGCAATGAAATTTTTATAAATTAGTATTTTATTAAATATTCAGATTTAATTCAGAAATAATATTCAATTTAAAAAATTATTGATCCATAAAAGATTAACCAAATCTATTTATCATAAAATTAAAAATATATAATATCAAATTTCAACTTTAAAATTTTTATTTTCTATTACTCAGATTCTTATTTTTAGAAATCGTTGAAGTAAGCAATGTTTTGGCTATATATTTTTCATATAAACATATTCAATTATACATATGCATTCGATAAAAATTATTTCTATATTTTATAATTTAAAAATTTTTTATGTTTACTTTTCATTGACAAAATGAAATCAAATTTTATATTTGGTTAGATTTATAAAATTCAAATAAAACTTTTTTTATATGTCTTCAAAATAAAATACATTTTTGAAAAATATAAATTTATCACATTTGACATATTATACATAAAGTAAACATATATTATAAAATATCATCAAAACAATCTCATAAGCTATTTTTAAACATATGTTTAAAAATTTTATCCTAAAAACATTCTACGAGGATAAAAACTTTTTATTATTACAGTAAATAACTAAACAATCAATTCTATAAGTAATTATAAATTTTTTACCACCACCATTGAACGTAACTAGATTTAGACAAATTTAAAAAAACGTTATAACAAAAATTAATTTTATCAAAGATTTTATAATATAAAAATTAGATTAATACAATACAATTCGTATCACGTTGATGATAAAATACAAAAAGTATATATAAAATGGCACAAGAAACTGATTTTGAGATAAGATATAATATAAATTAACATGAGGTTAAATTGGATGAAAATAAATTAGAAATAATTTGTTTTGAAGTAAATAGAACACGACGAAAAAATTATGTATATGGCAAGAAAAGAATACATCAACGATAATAATGCATATATCTATTACCCTCTAAAGCTCTTCGCATATATATTGTGTAAGGCGATAACGAAGTTAGTACATTTAGCAAGGTAAAAGTCGACAACAAATATACTAACGTATAATATCAATATACAAGTAGTGCTCCAGGAAATACAAGCATAACAAAACGATGAGATATTTACATCAGTAATGGATTGAAGGAATAAAGAATAAATAAACTTAAATAATGTACTGGGAATTATTATTTTATCTAAATGTCGATTGGATTTTAGTTTTACACAACTTAAACTGTACATAATGAGAGAATATTTAATATATAAATAATTTGGTGATATGTAACATTATGAATCAAACATTTTCATTTAAAAAATATTCAAATGGCTTAAATGACTCAAATGAGATATAAAAATATTAAAAAAAAAATATATATATATATAAAGTAAAAACATGAAGTGTAAAAACTTTTTCTAAAATTATCATTGAGTATCACAAATGAATTAATGTGATTTAAAGACAACTTTTATTCAATAAAATTCATTCGATATATTCATTTAAATCATTATGAACATATTTAAATATATAATAAATACATTAATAAATTAATAATTAACAAATAACAAGAAGGTAAAGTAAATTAACGATAAAAGCTACTTGAATGTGTGATTAAGATACGTTCATTTTTTACTTTCATACATTAAAGTACAAGCACTTATTTTGTAAATTTGTATATTACTCGTATTTATTTTTATAAATTTTATTTCTTGAATGTACTTTCTTCTTAAATAAATAATATAACAACAACAAAAACAACAATAATAATAACAATGATGATGATAACGATTATATAATGATGACAATGAAATGACGACGATGACGATGACAACGATAATAATAATAAATTAACAATAACAGTTTCCATAGACATTAAGGTTTTTGTTTACTGTTCCATATACTTATTACAATTATTAATTAATTATAATTAATAGTATTTTTTCCTTCGACAAGAAGGATTACAGGTATAGTAGTCGTTCACATAAAAACTGACTAGAAAAAAAATCGTTCATTGCTTTTTAATCTTCTTTTGCTTTCCAAACACATTCCAATCTATTTAATATGTAAATCACAAAGCAGAGAAGATACAATAATTAGCATTAATTATTAATATTACATTATTTATGTCGATAATGCACTGATATCTTTATGCTCGTATAATTTTTTAATAACGAATTAGCATTTATTTCATTGCATTAAAATGTATTGTATAATTATATGTCGAAATGGAAACCATAGTTCGATCCTTGGCATTCAAATTTTTTTTTATTTCAACGGAATGCAACATTTTTTTTATTGATATAATATATTTTTATTTTAAGAATTTTTCACACTTTCAAAAAGATATTTTAATTTTATACGTTTACTGTTTAATATTCAAGAATATATTTATTCCTTTGTATTAATTTTTTTGTTTTCAAGTTAAAATAGTGATAATTTCTTAAAGTATATAAAACAGATACAATACTTTATTTCCGCAGTTCAGTAGGGAATTAAGATTCAATAATTACAAATAATATGTTAAATGCTTACAATAGCACTGTTGGGTCACTAAGTATTAATTATTATTATTACAAATATTAATAATAATTTAGTATATAATACATTTGAGAAATACTTTTTTTTCATCTGTATTTAAACATTGCTTTATTGAAACATATTAAATTCATTTAAAACTTATTTATTTTTGACAATCTAAATAATAAATAAAATAAATCAATTTTATTGATTTTCCTTTATTTTCTTTTTTTACTTTTTGTTCAATCAAATGCTGTAAGTTTTAAACTACTTATATGAGTTTTTTGTATAAAAAGACAGGTCCAGTGAGTAGTATACTTGAATCGATCTGATATTATATTAAAACCCCACCTATTTAAAAGCAACAGTTAAAATTCTCTTTGACTAGTTTTATATATCACCAAGTATAATATATCCTTCAAGTGTAGATTGCTTGTGACCTTTATGTATATATTACAGGAAAATATTGTTTAAGCATGTAATATAGATCACTGTCTTGACTCATGGACTAAAATAATAGTACCTTATGCTTTCAAGCATTAATTATGAATTGAGATCGTTAGCAAATGATTGATAAGAGATGAATGTTTTATCTAAATAATGCTATACTTTGTTTTACGCACAAAAGGATGACAAATCGCAATAACGCGCGATTTAAGTTACCTTAACGGAATATAGATATCGCCAATGATATCAATGGGATCAGGCCCAATTAATTAGTTACTGAATCACATAGTTGATGAGACTTTAGACTTGAATGGTCTACTGAGTAGAATTGAAAACTTAAATGAATGATATTAATATTGACATTGAACTGCCGTCGATTGAATAACTATCTTCAATTAAATTTTAATAAAAAAATATTTGTATATGTGAAAACTAAATCCTTAGGTTAATATAAAGTATACACAAGTATACCTTACTTTGATTAATATCAAGTAATATAAGCATGTATCAGTATAAAATATATATAAAAAAGTGAAATTTATGTTAATGCACATCTCATTTATTCAATTAGATATGACAATACTTCGACAGTAAAATAAATTTAATGTCGAATTATTATAAAATTATTGTAAAAATACTTGTAAAATTCAACTATTTAACAATATATTGTTAGAAGAAAAAATCATTATAAGAAAGTAAGAATAGTTTCCAAGTATGCAACTAGTGTACTTTACTGAAATCAGTAGTAGAAAATCTTTTGAAATCATATTAATAATTTAACAAATTAATAGTACAAAAGACTTGCTTCAAAATACAAACATAAAATAAATTACTGTTATACTTATTAACTAGATTAAATACATGTTGTTCACAATAATATTGATTTACAGTTGAATTATATTACAAAAAGTAGTCACTTACCTACAATAGAATATACAAGATATGCAACAAAAACTGAAATTTTAATAATAATTTATTGTGTAAAACTTTAAATACTTGAAGTGAAAATTTTGAGTTTATGTAATTTATATTTTGTCATTAAATACTAATTGATTTGAATTCAATTGATTCCCAATAATACTAGTAATATAGTTGAGTAGAGTGTATGTTTTTATTTTAACAGGATCAGTGCGTTTAAATATGTAAGAAGGCTTAGTTCAATTAATTCAAATTGCACGTAATCAACAATTATTACCAACACTTTCTTGTTATGTGCTTAAACGAGCCTAAAAGAACTGCGGACATTATTATATATATGTACGCTATTAAAAATCCTTAAATTAAAATTGTTGCACTCTGTTGACATTGATGCAGTAATGTTTTGTTTGACACTAACAGCATACATTACTACAAAACAACTCTAATGATTACATTGCACAGCACAAGGTATCTTTATGTATTGGTAATTCTCATTAATATTTCCAAATAAATTTCTTATAATTTTTTTTTTACTCTTACTATGAATATCTATTGCACACATTATATTCACATTGTTTTCATTATATATTTCAAATAATGAATTATCTTCAGCAATAAAGCTGTTATCTTTTCTTATTGATTCATACATTACAGAAGTTAAAAATGTATTAATAATAATTTTACAACCAACATTTCGATTTATTATTTACATAATGATCTTGTTTACTATTTTGAATAAAATTAAAATAATACATTTAGTTTCACGAACAAAATAGTAAAACATGAAAAACAATTGTTATTCAAAATTATTCTCTAAGGAAGAAAAATAAAATTAATTTGTTGAATAATGAAGCACTTTGCGTAAACAAATATATTAAAATAATAAACTATTATTATATTATATATAATAATGTAATATGATTATATAAAACCAATAATTGAAATGCAACCTAACTACATAATCTCATCATTTTTAAAACTAATTAATTAATTTGTTATAACGAGATTTTCCTTTATCGGTAAATTATCCATTCTTTCATCACAATATATTAACCGAGTATTTATGTATATATATATATATATATATATATATATATATATATATATATATAGCTCCTAATTTGAACAATGACCCTGACATCATATGATACAACTCGAAAATATCATGTCTACTTCTTTTAAATTGCTACAGACCTTTTCAAAATCAGTCGCTTTCTCAGATATAAAAGCTGTATACTCTCTTGAATCCGAAAAAGGCAAATGTTGTTGACTGACAACACAATGAGAGATTTCTGCAATGTTGCTTTGAACCTCACGTTTCTTTACTAACTATCGCCCCATCTGAAATAGGCCTGAATCTTCGGCATCTGCAATCAATAAAAAAAAAATAAAGAATAATAGATTATTCTGAAAAATAAATACCATTTACCATTTATAATTATTTAAAGATATTGATAAAAGAATTAATTATTGAAAGCATAGATTAGAGTAATATGAATATACATGTAATTAAAAAGAGTTAATATAAATTATCAGTTGAAATCATTAATGTTTAAATTTACCTTAACAATTTTTTCATATATTATAATATTTATGGAACTATCATAATTAACCTGTATATAAATTTATTGATACCTTAAGTCATAGATGATTAATTAATTATTAAGCTTTGTTTATAACTTCGAATTGTTAACATAAGAATCTAATCTAAAACTTATATCTATAACTTATAGTAATAAACTAAATCAGATTTAATAATTATAATACAATATAACATATCTTAACATAACTAAAAACTAAAAAATACCAATTTCATTCGCTTATCGAACAGAGTAACAAAAATTTTGAATACTGTGACTTTTATATATAAAATTATAATTTTTATTATTCGATATTTTACAAAAATAGTTTTTTTTTCATACATGTAAAATTAAAAATTGAATTTGCTATATTATAAATTTCTTTCAATTAAATACATTTCATATGTATTATGAGCTAATATTAATTACTTTTCTATTTAAAAAATTAATACAAATTTCTAATTTTAGTTCAATAAAATTTTTATTAAAAAGATATATATTTTAATGAAAAATCGTTAAAAAATATTTGAAATTTATTCTGCCTGATGAAAGCTCCAGAGTGTCAAGAAGAAAATATTTTGTAATATTTTCTTTATTCATATTTTAATATATTATTATTATATTCAATACATGTATCCTAATTTGTCAAAATAGCATTTAAGTCAGTTAAATTCTTTAAACTAACTATGTCGATGGTAATTTTTGAAAGTTCAAAATAGATTTACTCGCTTGAAATTAGGTCAAGTAAATATATAGATACTATAGATATAGATACTACTATATAGATAAGATATAGATACTCTAACTTTGCATGCTTTCAAAATTAATTTTTTTAATACTTTCATAAAAAATAATAATATCAAATTAAATATATAAATATCAAATGCATTTGAAAAATATTTTACCTCACCATCGTTACTGTCAATTATCATATAAAAAAATTGATGCACAAACAGTTTATAGAAAATATTGAATAATAAATTGAAATTATGGTATATAAAGAAACAAATTATTTTCATTAGTTTATTACAGTGCACGAGCATGCGTTACTTAGTTGAAACTCTATTTTGTTAAACATAATACATTAATTCATACACATATTTATTGCAACATACATAATTTTGAAAATTAATTTACCAATATCTTTTGAAAATTAATGATTAATACAAAATGTTTAAAATATCTTAGAAAAGATCAGTTTCTCGAATCAAAATATAATTACAAACCTAGTGATTACCTGCATTCACTCCATTTCCATGTAGTTTATTGTACATTAGAAAAGTTCATTTTTATTAATTAAAGTAAAAGTACATTTAAAATAATTGAAAAGTACAAATTATTAATTTTTATGAAATCTTTAGAGTAATCAGTGATTAAAGAAATATAAGAATTTGATGTACGATCAAAATGAATAACTAAATATATTAAACATAAATACATTTAAAGTAAAAATATTATTTAAAAATTGTAGGTAAATGAAGTAAGTAATTTTTGTAATTGCTTTTTGTTTTTTAAGAAAAATTTTTTTAATATTCCAATAATTTCATTAATTATTATTTACTATTAATTACAATTCAAATACTGTTATACAAAAATTTAATTCTAATATATAAATAAGACATATTTATAAATTTTTATATCTCTATTAATGCTTAACGAAGGCTTATAAATTAAAAACTTTATTTTTATAAAAAGATCCAAAATTTTTCCTTTTATTATTCATTTTTTAACTGATTATGAAAAAAATTTTCAAGATCTTATAAACAACAAATTGTATTGCTTATCTATGCATGTACAATCGAATAGTAAAATATATTATATAACAGATGTAACTATAGACGCACTAACCTAGCGTTGTTTTCTGCAGCATGGGGTGGCAAACTGCTTGGGGGTGGCGGTGGTAGCTGAGTTCGAACAGCCAATTGCATTCCGCTACTATCCGAGTCATTGTCGCTGCTCTCTTCATGTTGAGCAACGACTTCGCCGAGCAAGTGAGTTGGAATTCCGCAGGGGTTGAACCGCGGTAATAACTCGGAGCTAGGCCTCGGTCTGCGCTGTTTTGGCCTCTGGAATCTTAAGTTTAGTTGACTTGTGTCTGTTACATATTTCTCACTTTGGCGACGGCGTCGCAGTGCCGGTGTACATCCCATTAAATTATCATCCTCGGTTGAGCTAGTTGAGGCCAAGCTGCAAAGACTTGGTCTGCCGTCTGGAAGAGTGGCACAGCGGCGTAAACAGGGTATACCCTCATATAACGCCATTGGCTTAACCCTCGTTTTTACTAGACACACATGGAGACACAGAAGCATTCACGTGATTGTTTATGAAGGACCAAAGCCTAACTGTGACATTAATCATCAGCACCTACTTTTCTATGAATATTGTTGTTTGTATTTTATAGCGGAATTTCATACAGTTAATTAATTTTATAGCTGATTTGTATAGCGTTTACTATACATTTTATGTGAAATAATAACAGCAAATAATTAATTACTTCTCTTAATTTTTTATTTCTTAATAAATTTACTGTAACAAATTTTTTTTTAAGTTTAATATTATATTGAATTTAGGTCTTTTAATTGTCAAATTTAGCCTAGAAATTGTTGAGACGTAAGTTTTCAAAAAGTGAAATAAATAAAATGTATTTAAAATAATACTGTTGATGTAAATGTTTGTGTAAATGCATTTTATATAATCCAATTGCTTTGTAAAAATATTATACACAAAAGCAAGTAAGGGAACCATCTCTGATTAGAGTATTGTAAATAACAAAACTATTTGGAAATATGAAATAATAATTAAATCAAATGTAAACTAAAAATAATTGTTAAAATTATGTATCTTTAAATAAGATATAGGATTATTATACATCGCGAAATAAACAATAATTATGTCATTTCAAAGCTACATTTTCAATTCTAAATAAAAATTTTACTTACTTAATTCTTTTTCTTTGTACAATACATTCATAGATTGTGTTTTCTCTTGCTCACTGCGAACTCCAAGTTTTGTGTTCGGGGTATGTATCTCTGGTGTAGATTCAGATAAAGAGCACCTGGGACTTCTTACAGGAATTGGAATTTTGCTGTAAGTACTGTAAGATTTCACCAATACTTCTTTATCTTTATTTTCTTTGGTTTCATGAAAAATATTTGGTGATGTGTTTGGTATTATTGTTGAAGTTACAATAGTTGAAATTTTATTCGAAACATTCTTTACTGGAACACGATTTTCTGTTGCATCGTAATAAATAGACTGTTCCTCTGGACCAAGATTCGGACTAACAGGGCTGCTTGTCTTACCATTCATTATTTTTTCTACAATTAAAAATATCGTTTCGAAATACTATTAAATAGTATTATTCAATTTCTTACTTATAAATTTTAAAATAATAGAATATTTATGAATTATAATTTATAATCATTTGATAAACAAAATAGTAAAATATTTCATTATTTTAACGTAATTTAAAAAGACTAAATGTCACTGAAGATTATTAAAATAATTTAATGAGTAGATATTTTATAAAATCAATAATATAAATTGCAGTAGCACATACTTTGAATAGGTTCCTTATCAGCACTCGTTTGCACAATCGTGGCACCACCCGTCCCATCAACAACTCTAATTTCTAATCTACCTGCAATGGCCTGTTCTTCTTCCTCGTGAGCAGCTGTGTTGATAATCGAATCGGAAGGCAAGAACATCACCGTGGGTTCACTTGCTCTTCTAGGCAAGGGATTAGCTTTTGGCTGGTTGTGCCGCATTACTATATTTCTTATTACATCTACTTCAAATATAATATCGCCAAAGGCTGCTTGCTGAACCTATATTATAAATTGAATATTGATACAAGGAATCTATTATAAAATTATTGTTCTAATAATCATTATAGTAATAAGTTTAATAGTGTAATAATCCATATACGATATTAGTTTTATTACATAAAATTTTGGATTTATTATTAAATTCAATTTATATTTAATACAGTAATAGATTTTTTATAATTAATATGTAACTGACTACTATATAAATATATTTGAAAATATTTAAATATTGCCATGTTTAGGAATGCATATAATTTTTTACTATATGAAATTGGAAAAAATTGAGATAATGTTCGGGATTGAAGCAACTTCCAAGACCGTTGACTATCGGTATCGCTAGTCTCTCTAGCTCTTGTGTTTCTGTAATCACTTGGGACGTGAATTTTCGTGTACTTGTTATGTTTTGGTTTCAAATGACCTACAATGTTTATATGGTTTTTGAGCAGTAACGTCGCTTGGAATATTCCAAATTTCTGACGACTTATTTTTTTCTTAGAATTCTCGAAACTTCTAGAGTTTTCTTTCTGCACCTCATGTAAGATTCCGGTGCAGCAACAACGATACTTTGTTATCAAATAAGTAAGCTGCCGCGTGGATATATAAGGCAAGCACGTGACGAGCCTCGCTCTCTTGCAGTGAACCGACCACAGTGAGCCAATCTTGCAGTGAACCCTCTACGTGAAGAAGCCATGGTACAGATATCGGTCTGCCTCAGCAGGACCGTCATGGAATGATCAAGCCTTCAGTTTTCGTGTGCATATTCAACAGATTTATAGGCTCATTTTGTATTAGTCATTCAACTACGCTATTCAGCCATTGCCTTTTGCCCTGCACAAGTCGCTCAGTTATATCACACAATGAAGCCATCCAAAGAATACACGTTCAATCATCAAGTGCGCTACACTTACAAGCAGTCAAGGATGCTGACTGCATTACAAGAACTACACGACTACACAAACATAGACTCAAGCTATTCCTTACACTTTGAAGCCACGCGTCCGATATAGGAGTGTGCGCATACACACACTCGAAGCCACGCGTCCGATACAGGGCCGTGGGCATATTACTGCTAATCCTGGCAACATTAGCAGAAGCCACTTTATTGTATACACTTCAACACCACACATCCTACACAGGAGTATGAGCATATCTCTGATAGTCCTTACAACACTAGCATGGGCCACGAGGAGCAACCTTATCATTGAGATGAGACACAGTTTACACTCTTCTATAAGAATTGAATCCTGCTTATTATTAATGTAAATGTTAATAAACCATATATTAACGAAGTTTGCATATACTACACATTTCTACAACCCCTCCACTTGACTCCCACCTAAGCATCTGCTAAGGCGGATGGCAAATTATTAAAGCTATCGAAACATTGACCAACATAATATTACTTTTGAACAGATAATTATGTTTTATATTTTTAATTAATGAAAAAAATCTGCATTTGCTTTGCTTTATTTTAATTTCAAATAAATAATATATTACATAAGTATATGTATTTTAAACTTCATTAATTAATAAGTATTGTTGGTATATATTAAAATAAGAATTATTTAAACCTTTTATTTTACAAACTTAACAGCACTTAATTTTGTAATAATTAATCGAAATATTTTTCACGTTTTATATTTCACGTACAATATTACTTAATAAAATTTTCATGTCTTAAAAGGCTAAAAAAATTTATACAGATAAACTTAAAAAATAATATATATAACTGAAATTATTATACATAAAATAGAAGTTTACAATCTTACCAAGGGTGCTTTCAAATGACTACGAATATGCGACGCCACTGCTGGGACGCTCCATGCACGAGGTAAAGATTTTTGAAGTTCCGGATAGTTCTCAATTCCTGTAATATTAAGACATTTTCGTGGCGCAATGACTCTGAATAAATCCTTGTTTGTGCATGTCAGTATATTTTTAGTAAATTGCTTATAAGCAGATTGTTGAATGGTGAGCTTTGACGAAGATTGTTTCATAGCTGTGCCCTTTACGTCGAATGATTCTTGTGTTTGGATAATTGTTGGAACGTAAACTTCGTTGCCAGTCGTCGACTAAAAATATATTTTATCGTTTTATCGATTCAACATCTCACAATAAATATGCTACAAGCATGCAAATAGTTGCTTATCACTGTTTTAACATAATAAAATAAAGAATAAAATAAATTACCAGGATAATGACATTATTTTTAAGTGATGGAGTACCGTAATCTTATGATAAATATTTATGTTGATTATTAATGATATTGTTAACAGTATCGGTGAGTAAGTAGAATTATATTTATTCATTGTACATTAATAAATCATTTACTATTATATAAAAATGATTGATATCATGTAGTTTCCTAAGAATTCTAAAGTCAATAAAACTAATAATCCACATAATAATTCATATATGGTAAAAGAACTTATATAATATTATGTACATGTTATTATGTTCGAACTTTAATGAACACATACTTATAGAATTACCTCTAAATCGAGTACAATAACAGAAAAACTGGTACATTTGTACAAAATATGTAGGTCTTTCCAGTCTAGAATTTTGATGGAACATCTTTGTCTTAACTAAATTTCGCGATTATTAATTATAAGAATATGATTCTCATAAATTAAAATTATTTTTGATGTTTGAATAATTAACATCAAATATTGAGAATAAAACAATTCTTGAGAAGCGCACATTCTACATTATATTAATTCTGAGACAAATTAAATTAGCAGTGATAGTTATATATAAATATTACTATATCTAAAATATTAACGCAATATTTAATTGCTTATAAATGCTGTAGAAGAAAGTAAATTAAAGACAAGTAATAAACGAGTATAATTAATAATTAACATATTTACAATGGTCGTAAGATAGTGGTACAGTCAAATATTCAAACACAAACATTAATATATGTGCTGGTGGCAACTAAAAAATTAAATTAAATTAAATTATAAAAAAAACATATTAATGAATATATAACTAAGAATATATAAATTAGTGTAGTATAAAATAAGCAATAAATAAATTTCATTTTCAAATCATATTTTCCTGCGATACAAATATATATATATATATATATATGATTTTTATGTTTAATTATGTAATAGAATAATTTAGAAATTATTTTTAAAATAGTTTTTTAACCACAGCTTATAAGCATATAAATTACGAAACAAAACGTTATTATAGCTTTCTCGCCAGATATTTTTGTCAATAAATGTAAGTAATTTAATCAAATTATTTAAAAAGTAGACAATACCTGATGTATCAATGGTGGTTGGTTGTTTCCCTTGTGTTCAGGACTTTGTAGATTTTCTGCTTTCCATTCATTGTCCGTTTCCTCTGAGTCATCGAACTGCGATTTCCAGAGCGAAGCAAGAGTAAGACCACCACCACCACGTGTTAGCTGTTGAAGTGCAGAGACGTTATCGTCATCGATTTGGGCGAATTGCGTAATTGAGCAATCACGCGTTGTTGCTCTACCGCTTTTCACCTGCTGTCGATTTTCCGATTTTCGCTTCGGTTCACGACGTAGTGGTTCTCGTTGTTCTGTTACCTGAGATGATATAATACTGATCATATAGGTTCATTTTGAAAAGATTGCTTATCTTTCATCGAGAGCTTATATTTACATTTACTGCCCTAAAGATATTAAAAAAAATAAAATTTATATTATTAAATATTCACATTTCTAACAAAAAACACAACATTGCAATATATCAATTATGCACTTTGTATTCTTTTTCAGTTGATTAATTATTGTGCATTTTAAAAATTCTGATTATCAATTATTTTAAACTTTATTGTATATACTTTGTTTTTAAGGGGAATACAAATTTATGCTTCAAAATAAAATGTATACATATTGAATGTGCATAAATAAACCATCAATTGCATTCTTTTAATAGTTTTGTATAGTATAAAGTATTCTGATAAAAGTAAATGATAACAATTACATGAAACTTATTTGCATCACTTTAAAATAATATGCATATAAATATTAATAAAATTCCAATTTGTAGTCTTAATATAACACAAAACAAATATTCGTACATTTGAAAATTAAAAATTTAATACTTAAATGAAAAATTAAATAATATTAATAGATTAGATATTAAATAAGAAAAAGTATTAGCTTACAAACAATGATTTCATTGACCAAAATTTCATAAAAGGAATTTTTTTTAAATTAGTGTATTAAAATACATATCATAATAGATTTGTTGTGATTAATAAATTGTAAAGTTTAATAGAATTTCTATTATTCTAAAATGAGTAGGGGTAAGTTCTTATTTTCTAAAAAATAAAAAAAATCTGAGTCTAAATTCAATAACACTCACTAACCACTATTAAAACACTATTTTTACTATGTAGTATACCTTAATTTTCATTACTTTCGTTATGTATATATATAATATAAAATAAAACTATAAGAAACATTCTGAAATTATCTGTTATTAATTATTATTAACTGCTTCTTCATCATCTTAGTGAAAACGATGAATGTGTTTTTATTGGAGCGACCAGTAGCAGCATTGAATCTCTAAAATTTTTTATGGATCATATATCAAAATAATCCTTTCTTCTAAGTATGTATTTTATATCTTATTTACATCTAAGCATTTGTACTTTATATTACTTTTTTTTACATAAAAGACAACTTTAAAGATAATAAATTAATGAAATATTGATACAATAATGAATAATTACGTTTTTCAAAATATTTAGTGCACTGCTGCATTACAAATGATTGCATTTAAAAATTTTTATAAATGTGTGAAATATGAAACTGTAGGCCTTATAAAGGGTTGTTGTTATCCTTTTTATTACACTATAATTATTTAAAACTAATTAAATGTAAGGATATCTATATTGTAATTAAACTTAACATTTCATTTTATTGAAATAATGAAATCTAAAACTATATATCGTTCATTTATTTAAATTATTTTTCGGAAGATAAATAAAGTTCATATTTAAATTGTAAGTGTATTATTTGGAACAATAAAATAAAAATAATAAGATACAGAGGAATATAATATCTACAAGATAGATATTTATTGATATTCAATTAGTTTTACAATTGATTTGAAAATAAGGTTATTCTCAACTTACGGGACTTTGATTTCCAAAATTTTTGGTATTGGTTACATCATATGAGCAATAAGAGGCGTCAATATCAGGTTGCATCTTTGGAGTGGGTAATTCACCGGTTGTCGTCTCAGGTGTCGTCATAACTCGTAATCTAGCGAAGGTTGCACCACTGGCTGATTTTCTTAAAGGTGTCATGGTATTAATGATGCCTTTAAAACGTTGTAGCTCCGAAGTAGATCGCGCACTCGCCATGAGCGCATCTCCTTCGTTATCCATCTGCTTTTCTGGTGATGCAGTTAAAATCTGCGCCTCAACAGCCATTGATACTGCACGTCGTTTTTTTGGTGAACCTGAGATGATTAGTCAATATATTTTCAATTTATTTATTATATCGTTATTGAAAAATTTAATAACTTCAGATTAAGATAATGTAAACATAAATATGTAAAAAATTACATTCTTTTATTTTAAATACTATTTTGAATAAAATAATCATGTGAAATATATTTATAATATTAATTATATCAACCTTGGATTGGAGACGCACTAGCAACTTGCTGTCCAGTTTGCTGACGCGTATTATCTGTAATTGGCACGGTAGCATTGCAATTTTTATCTCGGCCATGATTACTAATAGCTGTCGTAAATGGAATAGCAGATTCTTCAATTCTTCGTATTCTACTTCTTCTACATATACTTTCATAATCCAGCTGAGCCTTCATTAAAAAATTAAATACATTATTAAAATCAAGCGGTGTAATAATCTTTATCTAAAATGATTGTATCTATTAAGTGCTTTCTCTTACTTCCAGTTCCTTCCTATTATCTGGTTCAACATTTTCTTGATTATTTGTATCAACATTGGGCATTGTAGCACCTTGAATAGTAGTACTTGATATAAGAGCTTGTGGAATAGTAACTCCAGTTAACGATTTAGTAGTGGGTAAGCCGTCAGTGGTAACAGTTGGTTTTTCCCAATCATAAGGATCACTTGATTGTATACCTCTTCGCTGTATACACCTTTCAAATAAACCAGCTAACATACCATAATCTGGTTGTTCTGCGTATTCCAAACTCTAATAATTAAAAAATATATATATATATGTATATATATTTAGATTATATATAGATAATTATAAAATTGTTAATATTCCTTTGTTAATTAAGGAAAATGGTAGAACATAAAATTCAGGAGTTAATTAAAATTCTGGTTCATTTAACAGTAGCAATTTTTAAATAACAAACATTTAAAATATTGCCAACTTTTACCTGTTATAATCTAATATAAATAGTTACAGGAAATACATTAATCTATGACAATTTTGTATAGACAATTTTAAAATTCTTATGTATAAAAATATTCAAAATAAATTAAACTAAATACCTGAATATGCTCCAAAAATATTCGTAGATCAGAAGGAAGATGTTTAAGTAATAATTTATGATCATAATTTTCTTTCATTTGGCCTACCTAAATATAGTAGATTACACAATATATGAATTATATAAATTATCGTTATAATTATTTGATTTGTAAATATTTTAACTTACTTGTTCCTTATCTTTTATCTTCCTCCAGGGAAGTTGTCCATTAACAAATTCAACGAGCATATAAAAAAGTGACCATAGATCATCATGTCTCCCCATCTCTTTATTTTTATGAGCATTAATTGATGCATATCGGACGGTACCTCTGAAACCAGCTGCTGCTCTTGGAGGTCTAACTTCACCAGTACCTGTTGTAAACTGTCGAGCAAGTCCGAAATCTAACATATAAACTAATCTTGATTGGTTTGGATACCGTCCAATAGAAAAATTTGACTAAAATATAAGAATAACTCACTTAAAAAAGTTTATTCACAACATAAAAGACTAGTTTCCCATTAAAATATATAAATCTTATAACTAATTTATTTAAGAAATTATATTTAAAACAAAATAATTTGATAATTTAGAGAAATTACAAATCATAAATACTTATAAAAATTCATTCGATATAATAACCAGAATACGAAATGACGGAAAATACATAAAAGATTTAAAAGAATAAAAAGAATTTTGTTAAAGAATAAAAGCTCATTGAAACAAAGTATGAAATTTATGAATAAGTATATTTTACCGGTTTGATATCTCTATGAAGAAAGCCTACTTGATGAATACTTTCTATTGCCTTAAGAATTTGAAGACCCAACCTTAGAGTAGTTGATAATGAGAAAGCTCCTTTCGGTTGAGCACGACGCAATTCTGCTAGATTTTTTCCTTGTAATTGCATCGCAACATAATTAAATCTATCATTTCTTCCACAGCCTATAAATCTGCAGATGTGGTCATTTCCTATTACATTGTTTAATTAATTAGTCTCTATGTAAGTAATGAAGGAGAACTTAACAAAAAATAATGATTATGTATTGTAAAATTAAAATTTTCTGTTTTAAAATAAAAATTTTCATATACAGATAAATAAATTATGTTACATTCAAATTCTTATTGTAGTTAGATTTATATTTGAATATATATATATTTAAAATTATTAATTTATTTTTAATTGTTCCTAAACTTATTTATATACTCAAATAAGGAACTTTGATTTTACCTTGAAGTTTTTTAAGTACAGCTACTTCCATTTTCAAAACTTGTTTTGGATGTCGTGCTGACTCCACTTTTAATGCTACTTGTTCCTGCGTTAGTAAATCTATACCCTCATAGATCTCTCCAAATCCACCACCACCAATTTTTTTTGTCTAAAAATATTATTTTATTCATATAAAATGATGATTATCAAATTTTATAAGTAATATATTGCTAAATTATTATAAAAGAATCTATTTAACATAGAAATTTTTTATAATTATATAAATTATAAAATAATAGGTGAAAATCAATTATTTATAGACATAATAACTTAATATAAAACTACTTTGAATTTTAAAATCTATCAGATTATTCAATACATAAAATAAAAATGAATAAAAAGTTAAACATACAACTTTCCATCGTTCCTTAACAACATGACCAGGTTGCAGAAGATCCTGGCTTGTCATGGTAATATTATTGTTTTGATCAGTACTTTCGTCACCTACATGCTTTAACACTGGTTTTCCGCAATTATTTAGGTGGCTGAAAATACATTTACTTTAATAAGTTTACATGAACTAAGTTATGAAAAAATTTTACAATCATTTATTTATCAAAGGGCTAATCAAAGTATTAATCGTTTATCTCATGACATCAATCAACAAAATTCAGTTGTTTATAAAAAATAAAGTATTAAAGATAATATTAATAAAAGTCATTGTTATGAAATGACATTTAAATCTACTTAAGATATCTTTAAATTCTCTCCTGTTTCGTAATTTACCAAAGACTAATGTCGTTAGTATTTCATGTCATTTCTTTAGCAACATATTGAAATTCAATAAAGGGCCACATTGAAATAAAAAACAAGAATGATAAAGTAAGATTGTAGATAAAAGAAAAATACATATGATTCATATGCCCTCTTGATTGTAAAAGTGGCCACGGATTTATCAACATAAAAATGCTTTATGTAAAACGAAGCTGTTAGGTACGAATTAAGTAGAGGTAGAAATAGCCGGTTATTTAATGGTAGGTCAATAATGTGCGCCCAGTTTTAGGCAGCCATGATTGCGTGTATGTAATAATATAGTAAAGCAGCAATAAGTGATCAGTGAAAAATCGGGGGCTCACTATTCCACCATTTATTTTATCCTTCGATTTGTCCTTTTCTATGACACTACACGCATTTTTACAAGCTTTGTACTATGTATAAATGTACAGTTTTAACTTCTGTTTTACCATCACCGTGAACTGTAAACTTCGTTAGAGTGGAGGCTAGTATGTTTTTCTATTTTTCTTGTACGATTCCGTACAGCTGTAACGACATGCACGCTCACTCTTTTCCCTACGTTAATTAA